TTGCTCTTGTAAATGCAAGTAGCACTCTGGCAGCACAGCGCACACCTCTCAGGCTCATGCCGTCTTCTGGCGACCCCGCTCCTGACCCGTCGCCATCTTCGAACTCATGGGATATCTTTCCATCTTCTTCTGTCCTCTTTAATTTCTCTCAACAGTGATTTGTAGTTCTCTTCATAGATGTTCTTCTCATCCTTGGTTAGCTTTATTCCTAAGTTTTTTTTTTTTTTGGTGACTATTGTAAATGAGCTAGCTTTTTTGATATCTTTTTCTGCATGTTCACTGTTGGAGTATAGAAATGCTACTGATTTTTGTGTATTAATTTTGTATCCTGCAACTTTGCTGAAATCGTTATCAACTCTAGGAGTTTTTTTATTGAGGCTTTAGGCTTTCAATATATAGGATCATATCATCTGCAAACAGGGACAGTTTGACTTAATCCTTTCCAACCTGGATGCCCTTTATTTCCTGCTCTTCTCTGATTGCTCTGGCTAGTACTTCCAACACTATGCTGAATAGGAGTAGTGAGAGTGGGCAACCTTGTCTATTTCCTGTTCAGGATGATGTTGGCAGGGGTCTTATCATATATGGTTTTAATTATGTTGAGATACTTTCTGTCTATACCTAACTTGTAGAGAGTCTTTATCGTGAAAGAATGTTGAATTTTGTCAAAAGCTTTTTCAGTATCTATAGAGATGATCATATGGTCTTTGTCTTTGCTTTTATTGATGTGGTATATCACATTTATTGATTTGCATATGTTAAACCTACCTTACATCCCTGGGATGAATCCCACTTGATCATGGTGTATAATTTTGTGTATGTGTTGCTGTATTCTGTTAGCTAGTATTTTATTGAGGATTTTTGCATCTGTATTCATCAAGGATGTTGGCCTGCAGTTTTCTATTTTTGATGCATCTTTGTCTGGTTTTGGTATCAGAGTGATGTTTGCCTCATAGAGTGAGTTTGGGAGAATGGCCTCTCTTTTAATCTTTTGGAACAGTTTGTAGAGAATTAGTTATCAGTTCCTCTTTGAAGGTTTGGTAGAA